CCCTCTATCCTTAAAGGAAACAGGTATGGTCTATTGTTTATCTGAGGTAGTATGGGAGTGTTATTACTGCCTTCACTATCTTGCCTTTTCCTTCTTTAAAACATCTGCATTCTCTCTTTTCTTTTTTTCTTCCTCTAACCTTTATTTTCTGTTTTTTTTTTCTTTCTTTCTTATAGCGAAACAGCACTTTGGCATTTCTTTTCTTCCCCCATCCTTGCAAGGAAAAGGTATGGTCTATTGTTTATCTGAGGTAGTGGCATGGGAGATGTTTACCTTCACTATCTTGCCTTTCCTTCTTTTAAAACATCTGCATTCTCTTTTTTCTTTTCTTTCTCTCTATAACCTTTATTTTCTGTTTTTTTTTTTTTTTTCTTTCCCCATCTGTTTGGCATTTCTTTTTTTCCCTATCTCATAAGGAAACAGGTATGGTCTATTGTTTATCTGAGGTAGTGGCATGGGAGTGTGTTACCTTCACTATCTTGCCTTTCCTTCATAAAAACATCTGCATTCTCTCTTTTTTCTTTCTTCTCTATAACCTTATTTTCTGTTTTTTTTTTCTTTCTTTCCTATAGCGAAACAACACTTTGGCATTTCTTTTTCTTCCCCTATCCTTGCAAAGAAACAGGTATGGTCTATTGTTTATCTGAGGTAGTGGTATGGAGGTATTATTACCTTCACTATCTTGCCTTTCCTTCTTTAAAAACATCTGTATTCTCTTTCTTTTCTTTCTTCCTCCTATAACCTTTATTTTCTGTTTTTTTTTTTTTTTCTTTCCCTATAAAGCGAAAATGTAGCACTTTTGCATTCTTTTCTTCCTCTATCCTTGCATGAAACAGGTGGTTGGTCTATTGTTTTATCAAGGTAGTGGCATAGATGCATACCTTCACTATCTTGCCTTTCCTTCTTTTAAACATCTGCATTCTCTCTTTCTTTTCTTTTCTTCCTATAAACTTTTATTTTCTGTTTTTTTTTCTTTCTTTCCCTAGAAGGTAAAACAGCACCTTTGGCATTCTTTTCTTCCTATCTCAAAGGAAACAGGTATGGTCTATTGTTTATCTAGAGGTGTATTGGAGTGATATTACCTTCACTATCTTGCCTTTCCTTCTTCTAAAAAACATCTGCATTCTCTCTTTCTTTTCTTTCTTCTTCTAACCTTTATTTTTCTGTTTTTTTTTTCTTTCTTTTCCCTATAGCGAAAAACAGCACTTTTGGCATTTCTTTTCCCTCTATCCTTGCAAGGAAACAGGTATGGTCTATTGTTTATCTGAGTAGCATAGAGTGTTATTACCTTCACTATCTTGCCTTTTCCTTCTTTAAAACATCTGCATTCTCTCTTTCTTTCTTTCTTCTCTATAACCTTTATTTTCTGTTTCTTTTTTTTTCTTTCCCCTATAGCGAAACAGCACCTTTGGCATTTCTTTTTCTTCCATCTATCCTTACAAGGAAACAGGTATGGTCTATTGTTTTATCTGAGGTAATGGCATGGAGTGTTATTACCTTCACTATCTTGCCTTTCTTCTTTAAAACATCTTGCACTTCTCTCTTTCTTTCTTTCTTCCCTCTATAACCTTTATTTTCTGTTTCATTTTTTCTTTTCTTAGCCTATAGCGAAAACAGCACTTTTGTTTTTTTCTTCCCTCTAATCCTTGCAAGGAAAGGTATGGTCTATTGTTTATCTGAGGTAGTGGCATGAGTGTTATTACCTTCACTATCTTGCCTTTCCATCTTTAAAACATCTGCATTTCTCTTTCTTTTTTTTCTTCCTCTATAACCTTTATTTTTCTGTTTTTTTTTTTTTTTCTTTCCTATAGCGAAACAGCACCTTTTGGCATTTCTTTTCCATCTATCCTTGTAAGGAAACAGGTATGGTCTATTGTTTATCTGAGGTAGTGGTATGGAGGTTATTACCTTTCACTATCTTGCCTTTCCTTCTTTTAAAACATCTGCATTCTTCTTTCTTTCTTTCTTCCTCTATAACCTTTATTTTCTGTTTTTTTTTTTTTTTTTTTCTTTCCCCTATAGCGAAACAGCACTTTTTGGCATTCTTTTCTTCCCTCCCCATCCTTGCAAAGGAAACAGGTATGGTCTATTGTTTATCTGAGGTAGTGGCATGGAGTGTTATTACCTTCACTATCTTGCCTTTCCTTCTTTAAAACATCTGCATTTCTCTTTTCTTTTTTTTCTTCCTCTATAACCTTTATTTTCTGTTTTTTTTTTTCTTTCTTTCCCCCTAGCGAAACAGCACTTTTTGCATTTTTTTTTTCTTCCTCTATCTCATAGGAAACAGGTATGTCATATTGTTTATCTGAGGTAATGGCATGGGGTAAGTGTTACCTTCACTATCTTTGCCTTTCCTTCTTTAAAACATCTGCATTCTCTTTTTCTTTCTTTCTTCCTCTATAACCTTTATTTTCTGTTTCTTTTTTTTCTTTCTTTCCCTATAGCGAAACAGCACTTTTGGCATTTTTTTCCATCTATCCTTACAAGGAAACAGGTGGTATGTCTATTGTTTATCTGAGGTAGTGGCATGAGGCATTACCTCTATCTCACCTTCTTTTAAAACTTGCCTTTCTCTTTCTTTCTTTCTTCATCTGCCTTTATTTTCTGTTTTTTTTTTCTTTCTTTCCCTATATAGCGAAATAACTCTTTGGCATTTCTTTTTTCCCTCTATATCTCAAAGGAAACAGGTATGGTCTATAGTTTATCTGAGGTAGTGGCATAAACACTGCACTATCTTGCCTTTTCCTTCTTTTTTCTGCATTCTCTCTTTTTTTTTTCTTCCTCTATAACCTTTATTTCTGTTTTTTTTTTTTTTTTCTTTCCCCCTATAGCGAAACAGCACTTTTGGCATTTCTTTTTTCTTCCTCTATCCTTATAAGGAAACAGGTATGGTCTATTGTTTATCTGAGGTAGTGGCATGGAGGTTATCACCTTTCACTATCTTGCCTTTCCTTCTTTAAAACATCTGCATTCTCTCTTTTCTTTCTTTTCTTCCTCTATAACCTTTTATTTTCTGTTTTTTTTTTTTTTTTTTTTTTCCCTATAGCGAAACAACCTTTTGGCATTTCTTTTTCTTCCATCTATCCTTGCAAGGAAACAGGTATGGTCTATTGTTTATCTGAGGTAATGGCATGGGAGTGTTATTACCTTCACTATCTTGCCTTTCCTTCTTTAAAACATCTGCATTCTCTCTTTCTTTCTTTCTTCCCTATAAATCTATTTTCTGTTTCTTTTTTTTTTTTTCTTCCCCTATAGCGAAACAGCACTTTTTGGCATTTCTTTTTCCCTCTATCCTTGCAAAAGAAACAGATATGGTCTATTGTTTATCTGAGGTAGTGGTATGGAGTGTTATTACCTTCACTATCTTGCCTTTCTCTTTAAAAACATCTTTCTCTTTCTTTCTTTCTTCCCTATAACCTTTATTTTCTGTTTTTTTTTTTCTTTCTTTCCCTATAGCGAAAAACAGCACCTTGGCATTTTTTTTTCTTCCCTCATCCTTGCAAGAAACAGGTATAGTCTATTGTTTATCTGAGGTAGTGGCATAGAGTGTTATTACCTTCATCATTTGGCCTTTCCTTCTTTAAACATCTGCATTCTCTCTTTCTTTCTTCCTCTATAACCTTTATTTTTCTGTTTTTTTTTTTTTTTTTTTTCCCTATAGCAAAACAGCACCTTTTGGCATTTTTTTTTCCCTCTATCTTGGTAAGGAAACAGGTATGGTCTATTGTTTTATCTGAGGTAGTGGTATGGGAGTGCATTACCTTCACTATCTTGCCTTTCCTTCTTTAAAACATCTGTATTCTCTCTTTCTTTCTTTCTTCCTCATAACCTTTATTTTCTGTTTCTTTTTTTTTCTTTCTTTCCCCTATAGTTAAAAACAACACCTTTGGCATTTCTTTCTTCCCTCTCTATACTTGCAAGGAAAAGGTATGGTCTATTGTTTATCTGAGGTAGTAGCATAGGGGTGTTATTACCTTCACTATCTTGCCTTTCCTTCTTTAAAACATCTGCATTCTCTCTTTCTTTCTTTCTTCCTCTATAACCTTTATTTTTGTTTCTTTTTTTTTTTTCCCCTATAGCGAAACAGCACCTTTGGCATTTCTTTTCTTCCCTCTATCATAAGGAAACAGGTATGGTCTATTGTTTTTATCTGAGGTAGTGGCATAGTGTTATTACCTTCACTATATCTTGCCTTTCCTTCTTTAAAACATCTGCATTCTCTCTTTCTTTCTTTCCCTCTATAAACTTTATTTTTGTTTCTTTTTTTTCTTTCTTTCCCCTATATGAAACAGCGCCTTTTGGCATTTCTTTTCTTCCCTCTATCCTTGCAAGGAAACAGGTATGTCTGTTGTTTATCTGGTGGTAGTGGCATAGGAGTGTTATTACCTTCACTATCTTGCCTTTCCTTCTTTAAAACATCTGTATTCTCTCTTTCTTTCTTTCCTCTATAAACTTTATTTTCTGTTTCTTTTTCTTTCTTTCCCTATGCGAAACAGCACCTTTGGCATTCTTTTCTTCCATCTATCCTTGCAAGTGAAACAGGTATGGTCTATTGTTTATCTGAGGTAGTGGCATAGGAGTGTTATTACCTTCACTATCTTGCCTTTCCTTCTTTAAAACATCTGCATTCTCTTTCTTCCTCTTCTTCCTAACCTTTATTTTCTGTTTTTTTTTTCTTTCTTTCCCCCTATAGCGAAACAGCACTTTTTGCATTCTTTTCTTCCCTCTATCCTTGTAAGGAAACAGGTATGTTCTATTGTTTATCTGAGGTAGTGGCATGGGATTTTTGTTTTTTTTACCTTCACTATCTTGCCTTTTCCTTCTTTTTAAACATCTGCATTCTCTCTTTCTTTTGCTTTCCTCTATAACCTTTATTTTCTTTTTTTTTTTTTCTTTTTTTTTTTCCCCTATAGCGAAACAGCACTTTTGTATTTTCTTTTTTCCCTCTATCCTTGTAAGGAAACAGGTATGGTCTATTGTTTATCTGAGGTAGTAGTGGCATGGAGTGTTATTACCTTCACTATCTTGCCTTTCCTTCTTTAAAACATCTGCATTCTCTCTTTCTTTTTCTTTCTTCCTCTATAACCTTTATTTTTCTTTTTTTTTTTTTCTTTCTTTCCCCTATAGCGAAACAGCACATTTGGCATTTCTTTTCTTCCCTCTATCCTTGCAAGGAAACAGGTATGGTCTATTGTTTATCTGAGGTAGTGGCATGGAGTTGTTACTGCCTTTCACTATCTTGCCTTTCCTTCTTTAAAAAACATCTGCATTCTCTTTTCTTTCTTTTTTTTCCTCCTATAACCTTTATTTTCTGTTTCTTTTTTCTTTTCCCTATAGCGAAACAGCACTTTGGCATTTTCTTCCCTCTATCCTTGCGAAACAGGTATGGTCTATTGTTTATCTGAGGTAGTGGCATGGAGTGTTATTACCTTCACTATCTTGCCTTTTCTTCTTTAAAACATCTGCATTCTCTCTTTTCTTCTTTCTTCCTCTATAACCTTTATTTTCTGTTTCTTTTTTTTTTTTTTTTTCCCTATAGCGAAACAGCACCTTTGGCATTTCTTTTCCATCTATCCTTACAGGTATGGTCTATTGTTTATCTGAGGTAGTGGCATAGGAGTTATTACCTTCACTATCTTGCCTTTCCTTCTTTCTCTTTCTTTCTTTCTTCTTTAAAAACTCTATTTTTTTGTTTCTTTTTTTTCTTCCTCTATAACCTTTATTTTCTGTTTCTTTTTTTTGTTTATCTTTTGGGGTCTTTCCCTATAGCGAAACAACACCTTTGGCTCTTTCTTTCTTTTTCTTCCATCTATCCTTTTTTTTTCTTTTTCAGGTATGGTCTATTGTTTATCTGAGGTAGTGGCATAGGAGTGTTATTACCTTCACTATCTTGCCTTTCCTTTCTTTTAAAACATCTGCATTCTCTCTTTTTTCTTTCTTTCTTCCTCTATAACCTTTATTTTCTGTTTTTTTTTTTTCTTTCTTTCCCCTCTATAGCGAAAACAGCACCTTTTGGCATTTTTTTCTTCCATCTATCCTTGTAAGGAAACAGGTATGGTCTATTGTTTATCTGAGGTGGTAGTGGCATGGGAGTGTTATTACCTTCACTATCTTTGCCTTTCCTTCTTTAAAAACATCTGCATTCTCTCTTTCTTTCTTTCTTCCCTCTATAACCTTTATTTTCTGTTTTTTTTTTTTTTTCTTTCCCTATAGCGAAACAGCACCTTTGGCATTTCTTTTTTTTTTTTTCTGTTTCCATCTATCCTTATAAAAAACAGGTATGGTCTATTGTTTATGTGAGGTAGTGGCATGGGAGTGTTATTACCTTCACTATCTTGCCTTTCCTTCTTTAAAACATCTGCATTCTCTCTTTCTTTCTTTTCTTCCTCTATAACCTTTATTTTCTGTTTTTTTTTTCTTTCTTTCCCCTATAGCAGAAACAGCACTTTTCCTTCTTCATTTTTTTTTCCTCTATCCTTACAAGGAAACAGGTATGGTCTGTTGTTTATCTGAGGTAGTGGCATGGGAGTGTTATTACCTTCACTATCTTGCCTTTCCTTTAAAAACATCTGCATTCTCTCTTTCTTTCTTTCTTCCTCTATAACCTTTATTTTCTGTTTTTTTTTTTCTTTTTTTTCCCCTATAGCGAAACAGCACCTTTGGCATTTCTTTTCTTCCATCTATCCTTATAAGGAAACAGGTATGGTCTATTGTTTATCTGAGGTGATGGCATAGGAGTGTTATTACATTCACTATCTTGCCTTTCCTTCTTTTAAAACATCTGCATTCTCTTTCTTTCTTTTCTTCCTCTATAACCTTTATTTTCTGTTTTTTTTTTTCTTTTTTTCCCCTATAGTGAAACAGCACCTTTGGCATTTCTTTTCTTCCCTCTATCCTTATAAAAACAGGTATGGTCTATTGTTTATCTGAGGTAGTGGCATGGGGTGTTATTACCTTCACTATCTTGCCTTTCCTTCTTTAAAACATCTGCATTCTCTTTTCTTTCTTTTCTTCCTCTATAACCTTTTTTTTCTGTTTCTTTTTTTTTTTTTCTTTCCCCTATAGCGAAACAGCACCTTTGGCATTCTTTTCTTTTTTCTATCCTATCCAAGGAAACAAGGTATGGTCTATTGTTTATCTGAGGTAGTGGCATAGGAGTGTTATTACCTTCTATCTTGCCTTTCCTTCTTTAAACATCTGCATTCTCTCTTTCTTTTCTTTCTTCCTCTATAACCTTTATTTTCTGTTTCTTTTTTTTTCTTTCTTTCCCCTATAGCGAAACAGCACTTTTGGCATTTCTTTTCTTCCCTCTATCCTTGCAAGGAAACAGGTATGGTCTATTGTTTATCTGAGGTAGTGGCATGGGGGTGTTATTACCTTCACTATCTTGCCTTTCCTTCTTTTTAAAACATCTGCATTCTCTTTCTTTCTTTCTTCCTCTATAACCTTTATTTTCTGTTTCTTTTTTTTTCTTTCTTTCCCCTATAGCGAAACAGCACCTTTGGCATTTCTTTTCTTCCATCTATCCTTACAAGGAAACAGGTATGATCTTTTGTTTATCTGAGGTAGTGGCATGGGAGTGTTATTACCTTCACTATCTTGCCTTTCCTTCTTTTAAAACATCTGCATTCTCTCTTTCTTTCTTTCTTCCTCTATAACCTTTATTTTCTGTTTTTTTTTTTTTCTTTTCCCCTATAGCGAAACAGCACCTTTGGCATTTCTTTTCTTCCATCTATCCTTACAGGAAACAGGTATGATCTTTTGTTTATCTGAGGTAGTGGCATGGAGTATTAATTTTTACTATCTTGCCTTTCCTTCTTTAAAATATCTGCATTCTCTCTTTCTTTTTTTCTTCCTCTATAACCTTTATTTTCTGTTTCTTTTTTTTTTCTTTCTTTCCCTATAGCGAAACAGCACCTTTGGCATTTTTTTCTTCCATCTATCCTTACAAGGAAACAGGTATGATCTTTTGTTTATCTGAGGTAGTGGCATGGGAGTGTTATTACCTTCACTATCTTGCCTTTCCTTCTTTAAAACATCTGCATTCTCTCTTTCTTTCTTTCTTCCTCTATAACCTTTATTTTCTGTTTCTTTTTTTTTTCTTTCCCCCCTATAAAGGAAAGCACCTTTGGCATTTCTTTTCTTCCCTCTATCCTTTACAAAGGAAACAGGTATGGTCTATTGTTTATCTGAGGTAGTGGCATGGGAGTATTACCTTCACTTCACTATCTTGCCTTTCCTTCTTTAAAATATCTGCATTCTCTCTTTCTTTCTTTCTTCCTCTATAACCTTTATTTTCTGTTTCTTTTTTTCTTTCTTTCCCCTATAGCGAAACAGCACTTTTTTTTTCTTTTCTTCCATCTATCCTTACAAAAAACAGGTATGGTCTATTGTTTATCTGAGGTAGTGGCATGGGAGTGTTATTACCTTCACTATCTTGCCTTTCCTTCTTTAAAACATCTGCATTCTCTCTTTCTTTCTTTCTTCCTCTATAACCTTTATTTTCTGTTTCTTTTTTTTTTTTTTCCCCTATAGCGAAACAGCACCTTTGGCATTACTTTTTCTTCCTCTATCCTTACAAGGAAACAGGTATGGTCTATTGTTTATCTGAGGTAGTGGCATGGGAGTGTTATTACCTTCACTATCTTGCCTTTCCTTCTTTAAACATCTGCATTCTCTATTTCTTTCTTTTTCTCTATAACCTTTATTTTCTGTTTTTTTTTTCTCTTTCTTTCCCCCTATAGCGAAACAGCACCTTTTGGTATTTCTTTTCTTCCATCTATCCTTACAAGGAAACAGGTATGGTCTATTGTTTATCTGAGGTAGTGGCATGGGAGTGTTATTACCTTCACTATCTTGCCTTTCCTTCTTTTAAAACATCTGCATTCTCTTTTCTTTCTTTTTCTTCCTCTATAACCTTTATTTTCTGTTCCTTTTTTTTCTTTCTTTTCCCCTATAAAAACAGCACCTTTGGTATTTCTTTTTTCCCTCTATCCTTACAAGGAAACAGGTATGGTCTATTGTTTATCTGAGGTAGTGGCATGGGGTGTTATTACCTTCACTATCTTGCCTTTCCTTCTTTAAAACATCTGCATTCTCTTTTCTTTCTTTCTTCCTCTATAACCTTTATTTTCTGTTTCTTTTTTTTTTCTTTTCCCCTATAGCGAAACAGCACCTTTTGGCATTTTCTTTTCTTCCTCTATCCTTACAAGGAAACAGGTATGGTCTATTGTTTATCTGAGGTAGTGGCATAGGAGTGTTATTACCTTCACTATCTTGCCATTCCTTCTTTAAAACATCTGCATTCTCTCTTTCTTTCTTTCTTCCTCTATAACCTTTATTTTCTGTTTCTTTTTTTTTTTTCTTTCCCCTATAGCGAAAACAGCACCTTTGGCATTTTTTTCTTCCTCTATCCTTGCAAGGAAACAGGTATTGTCTATTGTTTATCTGAGGTAGTGGCATGGGAGTGTTATTACCTTCACTATCTTGCCTTTCTTTCTTTAAAACATCTGCATTCTCTCTTTTTTCTTTTTCCTCTATAACCTTTATTTTCTGTTTTTTTTTTTTTTTTCCCCTATAGCGAAACAGCACCTTTGGCATTTCTTTTCTTCCATCTATCCTTGCAAACAGGAAACCGGTAAGGTCTATTGTTTATCTGAGGTAGTGGCATGGGAGTGTTATTACCTTCACTATCTTGCCTTTCCTTCTTTAAAACTTCTGCATTCTCTTTCTTTCTTTCTATCTTCCTCTAACCTTTATTTTCTGTTTCTTTTTTTTTCTTTCTTTCCCCTATAGCGAAACAGCACCTTTGGCATTTTTTTCTTCCATCTATCCTTGTAAGGAAACCGGTATGGTCTATTGTTTATCTGAGGTAGTGGCATGGAGTGTTATTACCTTCACTATCTTGCCTTTCCTTCTTTAAAACATCTGCATTCTCTCTCTTTTTCTTTCTTCCTCTATAACCTTTATTTTCTGTTTCTTTTTTTTTTTTCATTTCCCCTAGCGAAACAGCACCTTTGGCATTTTCTTTTTTCTTCCATCTTTCCTTGCAAGGAAACAGGTATGGTCTATTGTTTATCTGAGGTAGTGGCATAGGAGTGTTATTACCTTCACTATCTTGCCTTTCCTTCTTTTTAAAACATCTGCATTCTCTCTTTCTTTCTTTCTTCCTCTATAACCTTTATTTTCTGTTTCTTTTTTTTTCTTTCTTTCCCCTATAGCGAAACAGCACCTTTGGCATTTCTTTTCTTCCATCTTTCCTTGCAAGGAAACAGGTATGGTCTATTGTTTATCTGAGGTAGTGGCATGGGAGTGTTATTACCTTCACTATCTTGCCTTTCCTTCTTTAAAACATCTGCATTCTCTCTTTCTTTCTTTCTTCCTCTATAACCTTTATTTTCTGTTTCTTTTTTTTTCTTTCTTTCCCCTATAGCGAAACAGCACCTTTGGCATTTCTTTTCTTCCATCTTTCCTTGCAAGGAAACAGGTATGGTCTATTGTTTATCTGAGGTAGTGGCATAGGAGTGTTATTACCTTCACTATCTTGCCTTTTCCTTCTTTAAAAACATCTGCATTCTCTCTTTCTTTCTTTTTTCCTCTATAACCTTTATTTTCTGTTTTTTTTTTTTTTTTCTTTCCCTATAGCGAAACAGCACCTTTGGCATTTCTTTTTTCTTCCATCTTTCCTTGCAAGGAAACAGGTATGGTCTATTGTTTATCTGAGGTAGTGGTATAGGAGTGTTATTACCTTCACTATCTTGCCTTTCCTTCTTTAAAACATCTGCATTCTCTTTTTCTTTCTTTTCTTCCTCTATAACCTTTATTTTCTGTTTTTTTTTTTTTTTCTTTCCCCTATAGCGAAACAGCACTTTTGGCATTTCTTTTCTTCCATCTATCCTTACAAGGAAACAGGTATGGTCTATTGTTTATCTGAGGTAGTGGCATGGGAGTGTTATTACCTTCACTATCTTGCCTTTCCTTCTTTAAAATATCTGCATTCTCTTTCTTTTCTTTCTTCCTCTATAACCTTTATTTTCTGTTTTTTTTTTTTTTCTTTCTTTCCTATAGAAACAGCACTTTTGGCATTTCTTTTCTTCCATCTATCCTTACAAGGAAACAGGTATGGTCTATTGTTTATCTGAGGTAGTGGTATGGGGAGTGTTATTACCTTCACTATCTTGCCTTTCCTTCTTTAAAAACATCTGCATTCTCTCTTTCTTTCTTCCTCTATAACCTTTATTTTTCTGTTTCTTTTTTTCTTTCTTTCCCCTATAGCGAAACAGCACCTTTGGCATTACTTTTCTTCCCTCTATCCTTACAAGGAAACAGGTATGGTCTATTGTTTATCTGAGGTAGTGGCATGGAGTGTTATTACCTTCACTATCTTGCCTTTCCTTCTTTAAAACATCTGCATTCTCTCTTTTTTCTTTCTTTCTTCCTCTATAACCTTTATTTTCTGTTTTTTTTTTTTTTTTTTCCCCTATAGCGAAACAGCACTTTGGCATTTCTTTTCTTCCTCTATCCTTGCAAGGAAACAGGTATGGTCTATTGTTTATATGAGGTAGTGGCATAGGAGTGTTATTACCTTCACTATCTTGCCTTTCCTTCTTTAAAACATCTGCATTCTCTCTTTCTTTCTTTCTTCCTCTATAACCTTTATTTTCTGTTTTTTTTTTTTTTTCTTTCCCCATAGCGAAATAGCACATTTGGCATTTCTTTTCTTCCATCTATCCTTGCAAGGAAACAGGTATGGTCTATTGTTTATCTGAGGTAGTGGCATGGGAGTGTTATTACCTTCACTATCTTGCCTTTTCCTTCTTTAAAACATCTGCATTCTCTTTTTTTTCTTTCTTCCTCTATAACCTTTATTTTCTGTTTCTTTTTTTCTTTCTTTTCCCCTATAGCGAAACAGCACCTTTGGCATTTCTTTTCTTCCATCTATCCTTGCAAGGAAAACAGGTATGGTCTATTGTTTATCTGAGGTAGTGGCATGGGGTGTTATTACCTTTCACTATCTTGCCTTTTCCTTCTTTAAAACATCTGCATTCTCTCTTTCTTCCTCTATAACCTTTTTTTTTCTTTTTTTTTTTTTTTTCTTTTCCCCTATAGCGAAACAGCACCTTTTGGCATTTCTTTTTCTTCCTCTATCCTTACAAGGAAACAGGTATGGTCTATTGTTTTTATCTGAGGTAGTGGCATGGGAGTGTTACCTTCACTATCTTTGCCTTTCCTTCTTTAAAACATCTGCATTCTCTCTTTCTTCCTCTATAACCTTTATTTTCTGTTTTTTTTTTTCTTTTCTTTTTCCCTATAGCGAAACAGCACCTTTTGGCATTTCTTTTCTTCCATCTATCCTTGTAAGGAAACAGGTATGGTCTATTGTTTATCTGAGGTAGTGGCATGAGAGTGTTATTACCTTCACTATCTTGCCTTTCCTTCTTTAAAACATCTGCATTCTCTTTTCTTCCTATAACCTTTATTTTCTGTTTCTTTTTTTTTCTTTCTTTCCCCTATAGCGAAACAGCACCTTTGGTATTTCTTTTCTTCCATCTATCCTTGCAATGAAACAGGTATGGTCTATTGTTTATCTGAGGTAGTGGCATGAGAGTGTTATTACATTCACTATCTTGCCTTTCCTTCTTTAAAACATCTGCATTCTCTCTTTCTTCCTCTATAACCTTTTTTTTTCTGTTTTTTTTTTTTTCTTTCCCCCTATAGCGAAACAGCACCTTTTGGTATTACTTTTCTTCCATCTATCCTTACAAGGAAACAGGTATGGTCTATTGTTTATCTGAGGTAGTGGCATGGGAGCATTATTACCTTCACTATCTTGCCTTTCCTTCTTTAAAACATCTGCATTCTCTCTTTCTTCCTCTATAACCTTTATTTTCTGTTTTTTTTTTTTTCTTTTCTTCCCTATAGCGAAACAGCACCTTTGGCATTTTTTTTCTTCCATCTATCTTGTAAGGAAACAGGTATGGTCTATTGTTTATCTGAGGTAGTGGCATGAGAGTGTTATTACCTTCACTATCTTGCCTTTCCTTCTTTAAAACATCTGCATTCTCTCTTTCTTCCTCTATAACCTTTATTTTCTGTTTTTTTTTCTTTCTTTCCCCTATAGCGAAACAGCACCTTTGGTATTTTTTTCCATCTATCCTTGCAAGGAAAACAGGTATTATCTATTGTTTATCTGAGGTAGTGGCATGAGAGTGTTATTACCTTCACTATCTTGCCTTTCCTTCTTTAAAACATCTGCATTCTCTTTCTTCCCTATAACCTTTATTTTCTGTTTTTTTTTTTTTTTTTCTTTCCCTATAGCGAAACAGCACCTTTGTATTTCTTTTTTTCCATCTATCCTTGCAAGGAAACAGGTATGGTCTATTGTTTATCTGAGGTAGTGGCATGAGAGTGTTATTACTTTCACTATCTTGCCTTTCCTTCTTTAAAAACATCTGCATTCTCTCTTTCTTCCTCTATAACCTTTATTTTCTGTTTTTTTTTTTTTCTTTCCCTATAGCGAAACAGCACCTTTGGTATTTCTTTTTTTTCCATCTATCCTGCAAGGAAACAGGTATGGTCTATTGTTTATCTGAGGTTGTGGCATGAGAGTGTTATTACCTTCACTATCTTGCCTTTCCTTCTTTTTTAAAACATCTGCATTCTCTCTTTCTTCCTCTATAACCTTTATTTTCTGTTTCTTTTTTTTTTTCTTTTCCCCTATAGCGAAACAGCACCTTTTGGTATTATTTTTCTTCCATCTATCCTTACAAGGAAACAGGTATGGTCTATTGTTTATCTGAGGTAGTGGCATGGGAGTGTTATACCTTCACTATCTTGCCTTTCCTTCTTTAAAACATCTGCATTCTCTTTTTCTTTCTTTCTTCCTCCTATAACCTTTATTTTTTGTTTTTTTTTTTTCTTTTCCCTATAGCGAAACAGCACCTTTGGTATTACTTTTCTTCCATCTATCCTTACAAGGAAACAGGTATGGTCTATTGTTTATCTGAGGTAGTGGCATGGGAGTGTTATTACCTTCACTATCTTGCCTTTCCTTCTTTAAAACATCTGCATTCTCTCTTTTTTCTTTCTTCCTCTATAACCTTTATTTTCTGTTTTTTTTTTTTCTTTCTTTCCCCTATAGCGAAACAGCACCTTTGTATTTCTTTTTCCATCTATCCTTGCAAGGAAACAGGTATGGTCTATTGTTTATCTGAGGTAGTGGCATGAGAGTGTTATTACCTTCACTATCTTGCCTTTCCTTCTTTAAAACATCTGCATTCTCTCTTTCTTCCTCTATAACCTTTATTTTCTGTTTCTTTTTTTTTCTTTCTTTCCCCTATAGCGAAACAGCACCTTTGGTATTTCTTTTCTTCCATCTATCCTTGCAAGGAAACAGGTATGGTCTATTGTTTATCTGAGGTAGTGGCATGAGAGTGTTATTACCTTCACTATCTTGCCTTTCCTTCTTTAAAACATCTGCATTCTCTCTTTCTTCCTCTATAACCTTTATTTTCTGTTTCTTTTTTTTTCTTTCTTTCCCCTATAGCGAAACAGCACCTTTGGTATTTCTTTTCTTCCATCTATCCTTGCAAGGAAACAGGTATGGTCTATTGTTTATCTGAGGTAGTGGCATAGGAGTGTTATTACCTTCACTATCTTGCCTTTCCTTCTTTAAAACATCTGCATTCTCTCTTTCTTTCTTTCTTCCTCTATAACCTTTATTTTCTGTTTCTTTTTTTTTCTTTCTTTCCCCTATAGCGAAACAGCACTTTTGGCATTTCTTTTCTTCCCTCTATCCTTGCAAGGAAACAGGTATGGTCTATTGTTTATCTGAGGTAGTGGCATAGGAGTGTTATTACCTTCACTATCTTGCCTTTCCTTCTTTAAAACATCTGCATTCTCTCTTTCTTTCTTTCTTCCTCTATAACCTTTATTTTCTGTTTCTTTTTTTTTCTTTCTTTCCCCTATAGCGAAACAGCACCTTTGGTATTTCTTTTCTTCCATCTATCCTTGCAAGGAAATGGCAGAGGACCGTCATTACCTCCTCTATCTTCACTTTCTTTCTTTAAAATCTATCATCTCTCTCTCCCTTTATCTAAAACCTCTATCTTCTTTCTTTGGTATTTCTTTTCTTCTGTCTATCCTTGCAAGGAAACCGGTATGGTCTATTGTTTATCTGAGGTAATGGCATGAGAGTGTTATCACCTTCACTTGCCTTTCTTTCTTTAAAATCTCTTCCTTCTCTTTCTTCCTTTCTTTAAAACCTATCATCTCTCTCATCTCTCTCTCTCTCTCTGTGTCTTCCTTTCTTTCTTTCTTTCTTTCTTTCTTTCTTTCTTTCTTTCTTTCTTTATCTAAAACCTCTATCTTCTTTCTTTAAAACCAAACAGTACCTTTGGTATTTCTTTTCTTCCATCTATCCTTGCAAGGAAACAGGAATGGTCTATTATCTGAGGTAATGGCATGAGAGTGTTCGTTTGTTCTTTCTTTCTTTCTAATCTACACCAGTCAGTAAGGTTCCTGATCATCGTGGAACCACCTCTTAATTGATGGTGTATCCAGATCCACCTTGACCCGGGGTGGTAGCACCTATGGGCAAAGTTAACCCCCAAACTGAAATCAAAATAGAAGTATAGAAATACATTTTTTTTTGCGAACAATCCATTTTCATAGTAAATGAATTACCAGCAATACAATTTTGAAAAAGATAATTAGATTTCTTAATTAAATGACCCATGGAGGAGTTGATATGCCGTTAAACAAATAAAACAAATATTTTTTCTTGCAGTAACTGTACCTTTGGTATTTCTTTTCTTCATTCTTTCCTCGCAATCAAATAGTAACGGCTGATTGTTTATCTGGGGCAATGGCAGGCCGTAACGTACGTACGAACTACCGTAGGAACAAACAGAATTACAATCAGATTCTTTTAGGCAAATATTATTAAGCACAAAATTGTTCAGAGAAGAACTTATATTCCTCAAAATTGGGCAATAATCTAATAACTGAATATATACAGGCAAGTATAACGCCATTGTAGTGGGGGGGGATAGATTATCGTGTAGAACGCAGGGAAATAATTGGAGAGTCCACCCGCAGTACAGTCATGGGAAAGAAGAAGGTTCGATGACAAAATGTCAGTGAATTGAAGGTTTACAGAAAAGACATTAATCCAATTAAAGTCGATTAGATTTAATTGGAAGATATTTAATTTCAAACATCCCCATTAGAATTGCGGATATATAAACGTCTCATCCTTTTCTCCATCTATCTATCTATCTATCTATCTATCTATCTATCTATCTATCTATCTATCTCGTTTCGTAGTCTCTTCAAATCTCACTCTCTAATATCTCTGTATATATCTATCTGAGGTTGTTCATATCTATCTATCTATCTATCTATCTATCTATCTATCTATCTATATATATATATATATTCATATCTGTCTATCAATCTGAAAATGTATATATATATATACATATATATCCATATCTATCTAAATATGGTCATATCTATCACAGTCTGTTCGCATATCTATCTACAATATATATATATATATATATATGTAATATATATATTCATATCTATCTATCCATCTGAATATATTCATATATATCCGTATCCGTATCTCTCTATCTCTCTCTCCCTATCTATCTATCTATCTATCTATCTATCTATCTATCTATCTATCTATCTATCTATCTATCTCTATCTATCTCTGTTTTTCTTCTCTCTTCAAATCTCACTCTCTAATATCTCTGTCTTTATATATCTATCTCAGGTTGTTCATATCTATCTATCTATCTATCTATCTATCTATCTATCTATCTATCTATATATATATATATATATATATATATATAGATATAGATATTCATATCTGTCTATCAATCTGAAAATGTATATATATATATATATACATATATATCCATATCTATCTAAATATGGTCATATCTATCACAGTCTGTTCATATCTATCTACAATATATATATATATATATATATATATATATATATATATATATATATATATATATATATATTCATATCTATCTATCCATCTGAATATATTCATATATATCCGTATCCGTATCTCTCTATCTCTCTCTCCCTATCTATCTATCTATCTATCTATCTATCTATCTATCTATCTATCTATCTATTCATATCTGTCTAAACATCTGAATATATTCATATATATATATATCCTTATCTATCTAATTTAATCTGGTCATATCTATCACAGACTATCTATCTATCTATTTATCTATCACAGTCTATTCATATCCATCTATTTATCTATTTTCACATCTATCGATATACATATAGATTCGATTTAAATATGTATAACTGCAATGTAGTCCAGCAATTAAAAGCCTTTCCCAAAGATGTGCTCACAAGCATCACTACCTTGGTGCACGTGTTGTATTTCTCTCATCGCCTCCTGCAATTTAGTGCCATAAAACGTAATTAAAGAGAATACGAGGAGGTGCCGTGACTTTTCTATTATTTCAAATTTCTGGAAATTTTCCCTTCAAGAAATTGTCACGCTGATTGGACAATTTTCTTTTTCTTTCCGTAATTAGGAAATTCGCTAATATCTTTCGTTTTCTCCACGAATCCATGCCAAAACAAAAAAGAAAACCGTGGATATTGTAAATTTGGTCAACGGATAATTTCAACAAAAATTGGTAGTGCTGTTTGTGGGTAATTAACGATACGTTTATTTTGCTGCAATGGAATCCCAAAGAAATTCTGTATGAATGCTAATTTTTTTGCGGGGGGGGGCGTGAATAGACCGACATTATCATCATAATCATAGGCCTAACATTCAGAGCAAAGGATTACGAAAAGGCGAAGTAATCAACAGCAATGTGTTTGTGACCAATGGGAGCCTTCAAATTGAAGCGGTTTGACCTGTAGAAGAGTAGCGTGCGTCAAGATACATATAGCGTAAATGTCTACCTTTCCAGCAGCAGTCCCTTAAGCAGCTGAATCGGTTAAATGCCACTAAAAAAATATCAACCAAAAATCTCTTTCTATAAAAGGCAGGATGTGTGTGTGTGTGTGTATGTGTGTGTGTGTGTGTATGTGTGTGTGTGTAACGAATGCACGGCCGCAATTTTCGACGGATTTGCACCAAAATTTATATGCACATGCTCCAAGTTAGTGCAAATGCCAAGACCGACGTTGCATTTCCCAACTCCCATCGATAGCGGAAATAATCGATATTTTCATGTTTCTACGGCAGTTTTCATGTAGTTTGCGGCCATTTTGTACTGGCCAGAGTGAGAGCCAATAGCTGGCTGCCACGAATAGGCAGGACGATTCTATTGGCCAGCGTGAGAGCCAACAGCTGACTGACACGAATGTTAACTAGCATGCCAGCATGCAAAAAAATCGATAGCTGCATTCGTCACAAGTGGGAAAAATTTAAATCTTCATTGCACTTTACTCCAATTGGCTCATTCGCTTGATAACGTTGATTCTGATTCCGCAGAACTGGGTTAGGTGTGAAAAAGTATTTGTTGTTAACATTCTTTTTTCATTCGGTTTTTCCAGTTACGAGTCCTTTTTTTTAAAGCTGATCGTTTTTTGTTCATTTTGTTTAGTTCTTTTTTCGTAACAGATTTAAAGTTTAGTATAGAGCTTCGAAAAAATTCGCAGTGTGAGATAGGCAAGAAGTAAGGCATGTAGCAACATCAGCACGGCAAAGGGTACTCCTTTAAAGGCAAGGAAGGGCAAAAATATTTTAAGTCAAGTGATAGTGATTGCTGTATGAGTCGTACGATGTTTGAATAAAGCACGGGCAACGCCGGGTCATGCTGCTAGTTTCAACTAAAAATATCAACCAACCAAACAACTAACATGAAAGAACTCTTTCATGTCATTAAACCATATAATATCCTACAATGTCTTAAAGAAATCAAACTGTATTCCAAAATTCAACAAAATTAATATTTAAAACACACATATCATATGCCTCTCGTAATAATGTTCACACTAATATTTATATGTACAAAAGCTGGGTATCATCTACCATGTACCTAATAGTGAAAGTATAATAACATATATCATGATTGTATTACTTCAAAGCTCCAAAGAAAATTAAATTCCGATATTAAGTGACTCATAAGAAGTTGATATACCGATGAAGAAGGAAAACGAACAGGTCAAATAAGGTATGCACATAGAAATATTTAAATGTAAAAGTTAGTCAGTAGGTTTTCTTATAGCAAAGATATTTTTAAAATCATGTGTAGCTAACACCCCTTCAGAAGATGGCGTTACTCATAGAAAAACAAGTTGATAGCTTAGGTTTTCCTTGGCAAAACTTTGTCCTGGGGATATCCCCAGATTGACTCAAAGATATATAGTATGAACGTAAGACTATTGGAATGAAGTAAATAGCTACTGAAAACATTTCAAATCATTACAAATTACAATTCATATTTGATTGTGCCTCTTGCAATACTAACTGATTCAGATACTCTGCTTATTAAATATCTATTAATGAACAGTAGATAATAATTTAAAGTTTTGCAGACAGTTTAAATTAAAAGAATCATCGATAAGGTGATTGAATACATTGATTCGCTTTTATTTGTTCTTTCACTATGTCCTTCTCTCTTATAAACACTTAGAGACAAACAGACAGAGAGAAAGAGAAAGATATCAGTCAGTTATGTGCCATGGCAGAATTTTTTTCCCGCAGTGCCATCCAAGGGTATAGAAACTGGGGGGGGGAGGAGAAGAAGAGGATTCATACGTTTCCCAAGAGTCAGTAAGTTATGTGCCATAAGTGATACACGCTTAGGCGATCATGTAACTTTCGATACATGACTGACCTGGTAGATTATTTTTTCACGCAAGAGGTTTACAATTTTTTCAGCGGAAGGCCAGTTGCCATCCAAAGCTATAGAACCCGGTCTGTCATACTATATACCCATAGCTAAGTTGAAAAGATGATTCATAACTATCCCAGGGTTCAGTCACTTATGTGCCATAAGTGATACACGCTTAGGCGATCATGTATCTTTTGATACATGATTGACGAGGCAGATTTCTTCCCGCAGGAGGTCGCCATTTTTTCTGCGGTAGGCCAGTTGCCATCAAAGGCTATAGAACCAGGCCTGTCCTGATATTTACCCATAGTTGGGGGGAGAAGAGGATTCATAACTTTCCCAAGGGTCAGTCAGTTATGTGCCATACGTGATACACGCTTACGCGACAATGTATCTTTCGATACATGACAAACGAGGGATATTTTTTCACGCAGGAGGTCGCCATTTTTCTGCGGTAGGCCAGTTGCCATCCAAGGCTATAGAACCCGGCCTCTCTTACTATTTACCCATAGCTGGAGTGAGAAGATGACGATTCATAACTTTCCCAAGAGTCAGTCACATGTGCCATACGTGTTACACGCTTAGGCGATCATGTATCTTTTGATACATGATTGGTGAGGCAGATAATTTTCCCGCAGGAGATTGCCAGTTTTTCTGCGATAGGCCAGTTACCATCCAAAGCTAGAGAACCCGGCCTGTCCTACTATTTAACCATAGCTGGGGTAAGAATAAGATTCATGACTTTCCCAAGGGTCAGCCAGTTATGTGCCATACGTGATACACGCTTAGGCGATCATGTATATTTCGATGCATGACTGACGAGGCACATTTTTCCCCGCAGGAGGTTTCCATTTTTTCTGCGATATGCCAGTGGCCATCCGAGGCTATAGAACCCTGCCTGTCCTACTATTTACCCATTGCTGGGTTGACCATAAGAGGATTCATAACTTTTCCAAGGGTCAGTCCTTTATATGCCGTACGTGATACACGCTTAGGCGTTCATATATCTTTCCATATATGACTGACGAGGCAGGTTTTTTTCTTGCAGGAGGTTGCCATTTTTTTCTGCGGTAGACCAGTCGCCATCATAGGCTAGAGAACCCGACCTGTCCTACTCATAACTTTCCCAAGGTTAAGACAGTTATGTGCCATAGGTGATACACGCTTAGGCGATCATGTATCTTTCCATACATGACTGACGAGGCAGATGTTTTCCGCGCAGGAGGTTGCCATTTTTTCTGTGGCAGGCCAGTTGACATCCAAGGCTATAGAACCCGGCCTGTCGTACTATTTAACCCATAGCTAGGGTGAGAAGAAGAGGACTCATAACTTTCCCAAGTTTCAGTCATTTATGTGCCATACGCGATACACGCTTAGGCGATCATGTATATTTCCATATATAACTGACGAGGAAGATTTTTTCCCGCATTCAAACCTTTCCCAAAGGGTATTAGCACTTATTTGAATGTAATGGCTTCGACTGGAATTCGAACTTGGCTCTCCGATTCCACAATCCAAGCCGCTATCCATTACTCCACCGGGAAAATCTAGAAGAGGATTCATACCTTTTCCAAGGGTATTAGCACGTAAGTGAATGTAATGGATTCGACAGAATTCGAACTCGGCTCTCCGATTCCTCAATCCAAGCCGCTATCCATTACTCCACCGGGAAAATCTAGAAGAGGATTCATACCTTTTCCAAGGGTATTAGCACGTAAGTGAATTTAATGGATTCGACAGAATTCGAACTCGGCTCTCCGATTCCTCAATCCGAGCCACTATCCATTACTCCTCCGGGAAAATCTAGAAGAGGATTCATACCTTTTCCAAGGGTATTAGCACGTAAGTGAATTTAATGGATTCGACAGAATTCGAACTCGGCTCTCCGATTCCTCAATCCAAGCCGCTATCCATTACTCCACCGGGAAAATCTAGAAGAGGATTCATACCTTTTCCAAGGGTATTAGCAATCCAAGCACATCCATTACCCCACCGGAAAATCTAGAAGTGAATTTAATGGATTCGACAGAATTCGAACTCGGCTCTCCGATTCCTCAATCCGAGCCACTATCCATTACTCCTCCGGGAAAATCTAGAAGAGGATTCATACCTTTCCTAAGGGTATTAGCACGTAAGTGAATGTAATGGATTCGACTGGAATTCGAACTCGGCTCTCCGATTCCTCAATCCGAGCCACTATCCATTACTCCTCCGGGAAAATCTAGAAGAGGATTCATACCTTTCCTTAGGGTATTAGCATATAAGTGAATGTAATGGATTCGAGGGAATTCGAACTTGGCTCTCCGATTCCTCAATCTGAGCCGTTATCTATTACTCCACCGTTGACTATGTACATGGTTATAATACTAAAAATGGATATAATATTATATCAGTTTCTGGAAGAGATCGTTATGTCGTTTAATCAAGACTCTGAAGAAGGCCAACACGCTGAAACCGTCGGTCACGAGGACTTGTGACTGCGTGCTGTAACTAAGGTCCGCTCTGTATAGTGGCAGTATCAGCCACAGGTGAGCTTTCAAATGTGCCAGATCAGGCGTCTGCTATGGGGATTATC